TATTGATTTATTATATATCTTGATAACATTAGTTATAAGTAAAAAAAAATCCAAACTTAGTTCGTAATAAACTAAAAACTAGCTAAACAAGAAAAGACAATAATGATGATGATGATGATGATAATAATAATATTAATATAACAACAACAATAATAATAATAATAATTACATAGATTCTTGTAATACTATAGCTATTCCATCTTGGAACTTATTTTGCATCACCTTAGTTAATTTGCATGCACACAGATCTAGTGCCTTCTCAGCAGAATGAATGTTGAATTCCTCTCTTTCTTATGTTGTCGCTTCAGTCAGTTGAAGACTCTCTTCGGGATGTCAACCTATTTCATGGAGGAATTGCTGATAAACAAGCTGGGAAGTACAGTGGAGGTATGAAGAGGAGGCTTAGTGTGGCCATTTCATTGATCGGGAATCCTAAAGTATGTACTCATCTATCTTCTACTAACATTTCCATGTGAGACCTTATGGTGGTTTATCAACAATCTTGCTGCTTATGGCATGACCTTCTGAAATTTCCCAAGGTCGTTTATATGGATGAACCCAGTACTGGACTGGATCCAGCCTCAAGGAATAACTTATGGAATGTTGTTAGGCGTGCAAAGCGAGACCGTGCAATTATTCTCACAAGTACTTTTGCTCTCTCCCTGTCTGCATAAATGCCATATTTAAATAATTTAGAATGCATCCTCTTCTTTGGTTAGAGTTATCAAGAAGAAACAAGAAACCTTCCTGGGGCTGTCTTATAGGCATATATGGTCTTGATCACATCATTTATTTTACTGAGAATCTTCACCTCATAAATTTTGTGAGAGATCTTGTTTGCATTTTTTCAGCTCATTCAATGGAAGAGGCTGAGTTCCTGTGTGATCGATTAGGAATTTTTGTCGATGGAAGCTTGCAGTGCATAGGAAATCCAAAAGAGGTAACTTTAATGTGATAATTTTTTCAGATTATGCTATTGGATTTTCATCTTTAGTACATATATGGCTAGAGTTTATTTGCATATAAGGATGCATGTAACAGAGACTCACTATAATTGTTTAAGTTAGTTGCTCCTTAAATGGTTTCTTCTCAAACATGTTCAGCATACTAAATAGTGGAAAAATTTTCCTAGGCTTATTTGCAGACTACCTCATTGTATTCTCTCTTCTCTCCTTTTTGAAAGAAATTACAAATGCAGTTGATATTTTCCCGAAAATGCACGCGAAACAATTTATTTATCTGTTGCCAAAGCGGATGCATTAACCAAGAACTTATCCTGTTTTGGGGTCTGATTTGCATTCAGAAGCATTCGACTTATTGTTCATCCAGAACTTAGATGTCTGCTCAGCAGTTTCATAATAATTACTCCTTATTCAATCAGGTGTCTAATTTGTGCTTCAGTTATCAGAAAAGCAGAATTCAACGAAACTGCAAAAATAGAAGTATTTTTAGTTAAAAGTAAAAGTTCTTTTTGGCTTTTGATAAAAGTAAAATTAAAAACTAACGATGTCCTTAGCCGCTATACTTACTGATCTCTGCCACCATTTTTCTGTTTAAGAAAGAAGCGGAATTTACGTTATTCATGAACATGCTATGGCTTATTCTATGGAATCTAGGATGCTTATTTAGGTCTGAACTAGCTATTAATCTTCCCCTGCTATTATTATTTTGTCTAGAGATACCTTTTTTGATTTCTCCAATCTAATAATTTGGATTTTATGTTGGATAATTTTTACCATGTCTTTTGTCCTGTGACAGTTGAAGGCTAGATATGGAGGATCTTATGTGTTTACCATGACAACTTCTGCAAACCATGAGGAAGAAGTGGAGCACTTGGTGCGGCGTCTTTCTCCAAATGCTAATAAGATATATCATATATCTGGAACCCTGAAATTTGAGCTACCGAAACATGATGTTCGAATTGCTGATGTCTTCCAAGCTGTTGAGAACGCAAAGAGCAAGTTCACAGTGTTTGCATGGGGTTTGGCTGATACCACTCTTGAGGATGTGTTTATCAAGGTTGCTCGTGGAACTCAGGCCGTCAATGATTTGTCATGATTGTAAGATTCGTTATAATAGATTGAGATAGTTTTTCTATGTACACTCTAGTTGGCTTCGCTGCAGTTGTTCTCAATTCATAAAATTAATAAATTTAATGACTTTTTTTTTTTTTTTTTTTTTTTTTGGGATCAAATACTACATGCTGCCAGAAATTTGTCATGGTTTAATAACCAACAAAAATAAAACCAGAATCTAAAAAGAGATAATTTATTACTTGATTGATTAATTTTAATAATAATTGTTTTTATTCAAATATAAATATTTAAAGATTTACTTATAATGGCTGTGATTATTAATTAGTAATTAATTTATTAAAGCTACATTAGTTGATTAAAACTAAAACTAGCACTGACTACCCACCAACGGAATTAAAACTCAATTAATCAGAATAGGATTCTAATTTCTTATACCCGAAAGAAAAGTAATTCCTAATTAAACTTGGTTTCCTCTATAAACCCATCGATCATTATAAATAAAATTACCAACTTAAAAGATTAAATTCCATTCAAACCCCATTTCTCCTTTTGACTTTTGATTATAACATGTCCTCCACCAGCGTCCATACAGAAGCATGGCAGCCTCAAGAATTACATCACTCCCATCATCTCTCCCACCATAACGAACAAGAACAAGAAGCCATCTTCTTGATCGACGTTTATGTCCAAACCCCCGACGGCAACATTACCTGGTCTCAGTTTCCAGTCCTCAAGAACCATCTTCTTCTTCACTCAACCTCCTGGTCTGCAGTTGCTAATCTTCTCGTCCACACTAATACCCCCATGGATGCTTACGCCCACGTCATATCAAAGATTATCACCTGCGCACGTTCGCTCGCCGCTCGAGATTGGAACGTTCACAGCATGATTATTCCCATGGTTGTGTCTCTTCGGGTGGATCAACGGGATGATTCATGGCAGGCGCATCACGCACTGGAGAAAGTTGTTGTTGAATGGTGTTTAGCAGGTGAGTGTCCGATATGTTTGGAAGAGATTGTGGTAGGATCAGAAGCTGCTCGCACACGTTGCCGCCATGTTTATCATGAAGACTGCATCAGAACATGGCTTCGTAGATCCAGTGTCTGCCCTTTATGTCGATCTGCTTTTTCTTAGTTTCTATATTTTTAGATAAAAATTTACATTTTCAGTAATTAAATGATAAATATACATTAATCATAATACAATAAAATACTGTATCTAAACTCATATTTGTAGTAAAAAAAATAGATATATCATTCATTTAACTAATTAATAATTACTATTTTTCGTAAATAAAATTCATATATTTATCGATAAATTATATATAAATATTAATTATAACACAATAAACATTAATATCAAAACGAGAATATTGGAGAGTGCAACTAAGTTAAACTTAATGAATACACTGAATAATGGTTGGTTTCGAAATACCAATAAAATACCAAATTTTCACTCGTCCGCCCCTCAAATTAACAAAATAATTTGGTTATTTTAATAAACTTAAACGAGTAGATCTTATTTCTAACTACTACATCAATAGCTGCCAAACATAATTAAAAGAATAATTGAAACTAATTAATTACTAACTAATTATTCTTCTTAGTTGTGAACCTATAGACCATGACATGCTGATAGCTCTCTCCCGGCATCACCATCTGAGATGGGAAGTTAGGATGATTGACTGAATCAGGAAACCCTTGAGTCTCCAAAGCAATTCCAGCATATTTCCTATACACACTCCCATCTTTGCCTTTCTCCTCAACCAACTGGTTACTCGTATAGAATTGTAAACCTGGTTTAGTAGTCCATAGTTCCATCGTCCTCCCCGATACACATTCATGCACTTGTACCGCCTTTTGCAAGCGTCCCAAACTATTGTTTTGCAACACATAGTTAATGTCGTATCCGTCTGGAAGTTGATCCAACATGCTTCCGATCGTTCGAGGAGCAAGAAAATCATAAGGTGTACCGTTAACTGGTTTGATTTGACCAGTAGGGATGAGTGCTTCATCAACCGGAGTGATGCTATCGGCCAAAATTTGGATTTCGTGAGAGAGTATATCTCCTCTGTTGTGGCCTGCTAGATTCCAATAAGTGTGCAAGGCTAAATTCACAGGTGTTGCCTTGTCTAGTGCCTTGGCTTCCATCCTTACACCCAACTTGTTTGAGTCAATCAACATGTATGTCACTATCACTGATAAGTTTCCAGGAAACCCTAGTTTCACAATGAAGTAATCATATTAAGTTTTTACCTACATTTTTTCACGGGTAAAATATTTTGCTACAGGTTAAACAGTTGCTAAAACTTTATTTTTACTACGAAATATTTACCTTCTTCTCCATCAAAGCTGTTATAGGTGAATGATACGTGGCTATCCTCCTGGTAACTTTGCACTGACCATATAACTTCACCAAATCCTTTAGATCCACCTGATAAACAAAAGTAGATTCATTAATGAATGCTCAGCATAAAATATGTACAACTGAATGTTCTGTGTACATGTATGTATAAGTGTGTGTGTGTGTGTGTATGCATACCATGAAGCATGTTGGATCCTTCATTAGCATCCAAGTTATAATGGGTTCCATTGAAAGTAAACTGGGCACCTGCAATTCTGTTAGCTACACGTCCAACAATTGCACCAAAGTAGGTTGTATCATTCTGCAAATCAAATCGTATATTCATTCGTTAACTACTGAACTGATTAATGATTATAAATAAGAATTTAATAAATCATGAAAAATCAAACCATGTACTCCTCGATTGTATCGTATCCAAGAACAATATCATCCAACTTTCCTGTTTGAGAACAATATTAATTTACAGCATTATGAACCCAAAACTCTGTAAAAGAAAAAGGAAAGAAGAAGAAGAAGAAGAAGAAGAAAAAGAAAAGAAAATAAAGTTACCGTTTTTATCAGGGAGAATAAGAGAAAGCATGGTGGCACCATAGTTGGTGAACGTGGCAGATAAATCACCTCTCTGAAGCTCGTAAATTCCGATTTCCTCAGCTTGAATATTAGCAGAAAACAAGAAACCCAAAACGAAGACAAACCATACTTGAAGCATATTGATCTTAGCCATGGTGATTGTTTGTAGTATCTATGTATTTTACAGGGCTTTATAAAGAGATGGTGAAGAGATTAAGATGAGATATTTGGATAAGAAAGATCTTCAATTAGAGTTCTGTTAGGATTTTATCTTCCAAAAATTACGTAAAAAATTGATTAATTAATTCTAATTAGAAGTCTGGCTGAAAACAATAACTGATTGTATCATTAAAATTTATATTAAAAATTAAAAATTGTTTTGGTTTCAGAATCAATTTCAGTTTTTCTGGACTTACCAGTTGCGCGAAATGTTGGGTAAATTGAGAATTATTCGTAATTATTTTTGTGTCACTAGTAAAACGACAGCGTTGGTTTAAAACGACGGCGTTTGGTTTGAAACGACGGCGTTTGGTTTCCCCTCACATAACCCACCAGCCGGTCTCGCACGACACCCAACAACAGTCGAAAGAGAGCGTCAACAAATCACAGAAGAAAAGGTTTTTCATGGGTATTCTCAACTCCATCAAATTAAGCTAATCTACCTGGTATTCCCGATTAATTCCTCTGTTATTATCGTTTGATCTTCATTTTTGGCGAGTTTTGAACTAATTTGTAGGCAAAATGTTTTTGTTCTTTGATTTATCGTTAATCTCGAGGAATTTGTGTGTGATCAATGCTTTCATTTCATTGCCAGATTTCGTTTCGGGTTTTAGGTCTTTGAACGTTGAGGATGGTGCTGGTCTTGGCTTTAGGAGACTTACATATACCCCATAGAGCGCCTGATCTGCCGGCAAAATTCAAGTCTATGCTTGTCCCCGGCAAGATCCAACATGTTATTTGCACTGGAAACCTATGCATCAAGGTATGATTTATCTTATATTTTTGCTTGGTTTCATTCACTTCGTTACTGGATGATTCATTTGTTTCTTTCTTTACTGGATTTGTTTTTGTCCTGCTGTTTCATGTTCATATATGTGTTAACTTCATTACCTCGTTCTCATTTTTTTTAATTCCGCCTGGAAAATGTTTTGGAAATTCGGAAAGAAATTTATCTTATTTTCCCCTCAGTTGGGGCTTAGAATAGCAGAAGGCCTTAACTTAGCTTGAAACCAACTGGAAGCAATTCTCAAAGCCAAGGCTTCATTTGTTTGTGAACAATCGGAGGGAAAAAAAAAAAAAAGAATGTGGTTTGTCTTTGTAATTTCATCTATGTCATTCAAGAGATCATTCACGTGATCACAAGCTCACTACTGATTTATCATGCCTGGTTGGTTTATGATAGTTATTGGTGGTTTAATCAAGTCTGTGTAGAGGCGTACTAGTGGGGCTGTATATGGAGTTAATATAGGATTACTATATCAGTTCTTTCTGTATTATCTAGCAATGAGTGAGAAAAAACCAGTTTTGAATTGCAATAGAAACTTCTTTTCTGTAGTAATAGATTACCTCGGTTGGATTATATAGCAGCTTAAATATTCAAAATAGTGTTTAAATTGCAAAGTAATTTTTCAATTTTAATATCCTTTTGATTTATAATGTCCATTAATGAAAATGGAGATACTGTTCTAAAGTATCCCCTTGTTGCTTTTTCTCTTTGTCTATTCTAATTTTCAAGTTCGAATGGATTCTCAGTTGTGTTTTGATCCTTGCAAACTATTATGTCATATGTGAGTACACCAAAATTTCACTGCAGCAAGATTAGTAACTAACCAGTCAATGGAAATATTTTTATGCTATTATTGAGGTTGAATTCTGAAATTCTGGAGGTGTCAACTCTTCGTTCATCAAATCTATTATTTAGCAATCCAACTGTCTCAGTTAAGTTTCTAATACACATGGAGCATCTAAGTTTCTATTATGTTTCTAAAGCCAATTTAGTAAGGCTATTTTTGCAATAATGAACTTCATTTGTGGAATTAATTTGAAAATACACACTTAGTTTAACCAGAAGATGGTGAAAATCTGAAAATGATAAAGTTTTAACACCATCGAGAATTCCAAGTGGAATTAAACAAGTAAGTAAAAGATTTCATTGATTTTGATAGAATGTAGCATGTGTTGCTTCAAGTTCAGCAGAAAATTTTCAGTAGTTGAATTTTTATCATTGTTTACTAGACGTCTCTCCATTCTCTCCTAAATGAACAAGTATTGATTTCTCATATAAGTTTCACAAAAAGAGTTCATTTGTTCCAAACTTAGCCAAGATTTTAAACTTTTAAATTTACAGTGGTTCATACTATTTACGGCTGAGTGCTTCCTGTTGTTAGTTTGTTGTTGTAGATTTTTTCACTTTCACTGAGAAATCTAGCTTTTTTATTTTTGTTTTGGTTCCTAAAGTCTTCATTGGCTCTTATTCACGAACCAATATGGACCTCACGTAAAGGTTTCTTTTGCTTTTCTGTTTGTTGTCATTATGATCACTTGCTCTTGTAGTTAACTTCATTATTCACTGAAAAAATGGAGTCAAATCTGCATGAATCCCATGCAAGTGACACAACAGACTATAAGCTTAAATGGTCCAGGTGAATGCCAACCACAGTTTGGCACATGCAATATATTGGAAGTTGCAGTTAGATGCTCCATGTAATGCACTCTTTTGTTTTAAGGTTTTCTCAAAAATGCTCGCAAGTGGTTGATCTGTGCAATGACTGTCTAGGTTATTTGATCAAGCATTCAAATTATTCAGGTCATAGATTCAGAGTTCAGCTCCCAAAATGAACTGATAAGAGGGACAACTTAAAAAACAATTTCCAGCAGCAAATAACTACAATGATTGCCATTGGCTTACCTTCTCTTAACGATTATTTCAGGAAGTTCATGACTACTTGAAGACTATTTGCCCTGACTTGCATATTACCCGAGGTGAATTTGATGAGGACACACGATATCCTGAGACAAAAACTTTAACTATTGGTCAATTCAAGCTGGGACTATGTCATGGTCATCAGGTTTAGTTTACTTTATTCCTTTTTTAATTCTTTTATGTGCTGAATGTATGTTTTTTAATTTATCATGAATTTAGATTGAGTTTGGATTGAAGAGAATGTTCCATATGTTCACCATCTATCACCATTTATCACCATTTTCTTCCATGGGGGAAGGGATGACTATTTAGCCCCTGCTTTTCTTTGGGCTAATCTATTATTTTTGCTTAAGGAACCATCGTGGCAGTTATGCAAATGTTCTCTCTTAATATTTATTTATACATATTATTCTTCGTGTCCACTTTTCAATGGCTTATTCATATTATCATCTTTTTGTTGGTTGGTGATATTATCTTTTTATTTTTTGTGATATACGATTGGTAATCTTTTTATTTCTTATTTCACTATTATCCTGCCAAGATCATTTCATCTTTTATTTGTCCTGCCTGCCCCCCAGTTTTTCTTTGTTCCCAGCATCTTCCAAGTCTACGTTCCTTCGTATATTGTTTTCTTATTAAACTTGAGACAAGTATTGGGTATATATTTTGTTCCTGAGAGTACTGTTAGTTTTATCGAGCTATTTTCTCGAGCATACAATGATGCTCATTCCATCCCAGCATTGTGATATTTTTCCATTTGTCAAGAATCTCGTCTCTGGCATATTGTCATTGGTGAATAAATTCGTTGTTCGATATGCATTGGTATAGAAGTATTTAATCATTATTGGATATGCGTTGTTCTAGAAAGCTGTCTCTAGTTTCTTTGATTGGGGATTAAAAAAAATACAAATAAAGCATATATTGCCTTGGCTGTCCCTATTCTTCAAATACACTGTTGGACTTTGCTAGTTGTTTAAATTAGATCCTGTTTTCCATAAGCAGATGTTTTTGATAAGCAGATGGTATTTGATTATTTGTCTTATCAAAATTTATATATTGTTTTCTAACATGTACTGATATTATTTTTCTTTTATCTTGATGTTTTATAGGTTATTCCATGGGGAGACCTGGATTCACTGGCTATGCTACAAAGGCAGCTAGATGTAGACATACTTGTGACAGGTCACACTCATCAGTTTACTGCTTACAAGCACGACGGAGGTGTTGTTATAAACCCAGGATCTGCAACGGGTGCCTATAGCAGCATCACTTATGATGTTAATCCTAGTTTTGTCCTCATGGACATTGATGGCCTACGCGTTGTGGTCTATGTTTATGAACTCATCGATGGAGAGGTTAAAGTTGACAAGATTGATTTTAAGAAGGGCACTGCAGCTCATTCTGCCCACTAGCACAAAGTTGCACTATTCAGTCTTGACTTTTCTGTAGATTCCTAAAAATCGTAAAAGTTTGTGATGTATGTTGTCCAATTTACTTGTATTTGAGTGGTGGGGAGCTTTTATCACAGGAATAATTCTTGGTCTTGTTGGCTACCATTACTTGTTTCCCAGTTCTTCGAACGAGCCCTTTCCCAGTCATTTGGTGGAGATAAAACTGCTATAATCTGGACCATGAAGAGAAAACCTAATGGGCTCTTGGGTGTGTGTACAGCAGTTAAGGAGAACAAAGATGACATGAACCAGTGTCTCTACTTTCTTTCTTTCAGGGCTGTTAGCCGTTGAAGTTAGGTTTTTCATTATTCTGGAAAATTGTACTGATATGCTTATTCTTGGTTCAGGACTTGAGAACATGCGTGCTCTTGACCCCTTGATTGCCGCACGTAATGTTTTATAATTTTTTAGTTTTCAACTTTGCTTTTTGCTAGTCGTCAAGCTGCCTCAATTTCTCTAGAAAGTTGAGTGTGGTAAACGCTTCAATTACCAAATTTGTGGAGAGTAAAACTTTCAATTCATTTTTCTTTTGACCTTGAAATATATATCATATATATCTCTTACGAAACAGAACGTGGATTTACACTTTTAACATTCAACTTGATGAGGTGCATCCACAACCCAATCAAGTCAGTGTATGAAATCCAAAACCCATGTCGTGGAATCACTTACATCTTGCAAAAATGCGTTAACACAGATCAACTCTGTCAAGTTCATGCCCATCTTACAACGACGGGCCTCGTTGGTTACCCTCCTTTTGCAAGTAAACTAGTCGAAGTTTTTGCGTCCATCGTCTGTCCTGCTACAATTTCGGTTGCTCGTTCAATCGCCGAAAGAATCAACGGTCTTGATACTTACGCATGGAACACTATTATCAGAGGCTTTTTGGAGGTTAAGGACGCTGAAAATGCCCTCTTGGTTTACTCCCATGTCAGAAACACAGGCTTGGAGGTCCATACACGTACCCTTCTGTTTGCTTTGAAGGCTTGCGGGCTTATGCCAACGCCTTTTGAAAGCAAACAGATACATGCGCAGATTTTCGTTTTGGGTTTTGTATCTGAGATCATAATTCAAACTGCCCTGCTTGATGTTTATGGTTCATTTGCCAAGCTGGATTGGATGCAACAAGTGTTCGACGAAATGCCCCAAAGAGACTTGGTTTCCTGGAATTCACTTGTGACTGCTTATGCCCGGCAAAACAGGCCTTATCAGGCGCTGGTGTGTTTGCGAAAAATGCTTCTTGACAATCTAAAACCCAATAAAATTACCGTGGTAAGCCTGCTCTCTGCTTGCTCTTTGTTAAAGTTTTTGAGAGAAGGTAAATCGATTCACGGTTACTTGATCAAGAAGTTAATTGATATTGATGTGTTTGTGTACAATTCTTTGATTGCAATGTACTCAAAATGTCAGTGCTTGTTTTCCGCCTGCCGGATTTTTCAATTGATGCCTACAAGAAATGTAATTTCGTGGACCGCGATGATCAATGGTTATGGTGATAACGATAATCCAAATGAAGCATTAGCATTGCTCAAAGATATGGAGTCTCAAAATGTAAAACCAGATGAGATTACCATGTTAGGTTTGATTTCAATGTGTTCAAAGTTGGGAAACTCTGAACTCGGGAATCTAATAGAATTGTACGTAGAGAAATATGGGCTGGTTAAAAGGAGTGTTTGTATAGCAAATGCTCTCATTGACATGCATGCCAAATTGGGTAACATAAAGAAATGTTGTCAAATATTTGATGGCATGGGAAATAGAATTAGAACATTGGTTTCATGGACAAGCATTATTCAAGCTCTAGCCATGAATGGACATGGGATTTCGGCTCTGGTTAGGTTCTGTCAAATGCAAAGAGAAGGGATCAAACCCGACGAGGTTGTCTTCCTCAATGTTTTATCTGCTTGCAGCCATGGAGGTTTGGTTGAAGAGGGTCAAAAGTGTTTTGATTCAATGATAAAGGATTACCAAATGGAACCATGGATGGAGCATTATGGGTGTATGGTGGATCTTCTGTGTAGAGTTGGATTAATTAAAGAAGCTATAGAATTCATTGATCATATGCCAGTTAAGCCTGATTTAGTTATGTGGAGGAGTTTGCTGAGTGCGTGTCAAATCTATGGTAATACCAGTATAGCTTCTCTAGTGATTAAGAAGAGGTTTATTGATCAAGGGATTGAAAATTGTGAAGATTATTTGGTGTTATCAAAGTTTTATGCCACAATGGGGGATTGGCATGGAGCCAAGCAAGTAAGGAAGGAAATGGAAGTTAAGGGACTGATGAAGCTCCAACCTGGTCGTGCTTGCATACGAGTAAACAAATTCCTATGTTGTTAAATAAATTTAGTATTTATTTTTTATTATAAGTTTAAACTATGTATTATTTAAAAAATTAATAAGCAGCGAATATATTTTATCTTTCCTATAAGAAGATGATAGTGATGAATCTCTTTTATAAAAATTGTATTTATCATCTAAGATGACGAAAAATAAAAATTTGAGTATATTTTTTTATTATAAATTAATTATTTAAAGATTAATCGAAAAAATTATATTAAAATTTAATATATATATATATATTTCATAGACTTACTCTTGTGTTTATTTAAATCTAATCAAAATAGTATGAGATCCAGTGATGAAAAAATTAAATATTAATTATTTCAAACTTCTAGTGTTCTAAATTTAAGAGGAATTATGTATACAATGTATAACCTTAATGGGTTAAAGGCAACATATATATATATATATATATGTAGAATTCTTAGAGGGTTAATCGCAGTGTATATATATATATATATATATATGTATGTATATATATATAACTTAAATTTATTTACAGTAACAGTAAAAGAGCATCAAGTAGAATAGTAGAATGGGGTGGTCTTGTCGGTTTGACTTCCAAAATGATGCATCCCTTTACAACAAAAGTTGTGCTGGTCTACCTTTAGGATGTGCATTACTAAAAACCGCATACTTTCATTTAATTAATTGCTTAATTAATTAAGAATCATCATAAAACACCTTTCTATTGCCTTAACAAATGTTTTCTTTTTCATGGGTTATTTTACACTCGGTTAAATTCTTCAACCGAGTTAGAAAATTGTTTTATATAATTACATTTTATTATATTCTTATTAATATCTTGATCGAAAATTAAGTTGTTTAATTAAATTAATGAAACATACTTCTAATTAAATTTTTTCTTGTTGATTTGATTCTTGTTAATAATACTTTTTGATAATTAAATTTTTACGAGAAAATAAATTATAAAAGAAAATGGTATCACTTGAGATTTTTCTTGCACTCGAAAAACTTAATTGAAGTTTATAATCTAAGAGATTAAAATGAATAATCTTTCTTGAATACGTCTGTGATATCAAATATATCAAAGTTTAACATGTATATTGCGAATAAAATTTAATGTACTACTGATTGGTCGGCGAATTTTAATTTTTTACTATAATTTAATTTTTATCTACATACTCACGTGTTAGATGATTTTTAACAGTTTATCACGAAATGATCTTACGAGATTTTTTTGACCCAAAATGTATTTGAGGAGTAATTATTTTTTTTTTAAGCGATTGTCTCTCTTCGTAATAAATAAAATAAATAATTAAATTATATTAATTAATATAATATAATAAAAAGAAGGTCCCTAGATTTAAATTTAAAAAAAAAAAAAATTAAAGTTGAACGAAGTCTTCGCTGTCCAATTGATGAAGGTCATGTGCCCCGAGATGCACGCTGACCCTTCATTATCTCATCTTATAATTAAATCCCTAAAACCATATTTAATCATACTAATTAAACCCACTTAAATATTATTAATCAAATCAATCCTATTTGTAACAATCATCATGTTTTAATCCGTGTAAAATTGTTTGTTTAAAATCTTAATTATTTTTTAATTAATATATATGCTGTTACATCCCAAAAATATTTATAAAAAAAAGTATTTTTTGAAACAAAAGAAATTCTAATAATTAAAAATAAAAGTCAGAAATTGTTGTTTATATAGTAAAATAAAGTAAATATGAATTAAAATAGGTTTAATTATTAAAAATGTGATCCTATGGGCAATTATCACTTAATTAATTATACAAAAAAATATAGAAGTAGTACAATAAATTAATTTGAAGTGGCAATAGACACACTCTTATATTTAATTACCCACATATATATTATAGACTAATATTATATAATAAGTACCAAGAATCTTGCATTATTTTTATGTATGTGTCATGCACACGATAGATTGATTTATAATTGAACTACATGAATTATAAGGTTAGCCTATTTCCATTGAGGAATATTGATTGATTGATTGATTAATTAATTAATTAATTAATTCCAAAATTAAAATGAATGTTATATACTATCAAACCCACAAACACACCCACACACCCACATATATATATATATATATATATATATGTTCTAATTTGAATGACTAATTTCCACTAATATTTTTTTTTAAAAAAAATTAAGTAAATGGGTAATAATATCTTGAAATGATGTAAATATATATATATATATACATACAACTTAATTAATAATTTTTTATTTTATAGATACATCTCTAATAACTTTTTTGTTATATATATATATGTATATATTATATTTTTTGTCTCCCAAACATTCCGGGTGCATCTAATGAATCAAAAATATGAGTAGTTTTTCAAAGACATTGAAGATTATACATACGGTTTAACGTGGTTAATGCATCTAATGAATCAAAAGAAACCCAATGAACCCTTTTGTCTTCGTCTTTATCTTCTTTTTCTTTCCTTTTTAAGTGTGCCATGAATTTTCTCAATTCTTTTATTTACTCTTTTTTTTTTTTGTAATATGGGTATACTCAATATACGTACGTGTATACGTATACACACACACACCACAATATAAGGAAATTCTTAATTATTGAAATTAACTTCAAAAACCCTTTAGATAGGAATTTTTTCCATTCTTAATTTCCATTTATACATGTATATATACACACACACACACACCCCATAATATAACGAAATTCTCAATTATTTAAATTAACTCCAAAAACCCTTTAAATTATAATAATTTTAAGTCAGAGTTTTGTTAGAAACAAGATCAATTCACCAACAGAGTAAGAAAAGAGATACTAAAACGATGTTCTAAACTCTCGTTTGTGCGTGTGTGTATATGTATAATTTCATTGTGTATATATGTATACGTACATGTACATGCATGTGTTACAAGAATTAGTAATAAGTACGTCGTAATTCAAGTGCTTTTACCGTGTCTAAGTCGAGTTAAAGACGTTCCAAGTTATTTAGCTGATAATTAAGTTGCATTCCAAAGACCTGGCTGTTCATGAAGAAACAGCAGCAGAAAATAATTAATTAATTAAATATTCTCTACGAGAAATTAATTGACAATATAAAATTATACATGCCTTGTAAGTCATCTGTAAGTGGATCTCTCAGTATAATATATATGTATATATATATATAGGGTTTGCAAGCAGTAAAGGGGGTCAGAAGCACGTGTTAGTGTTTCGTAATGTTTGATTGGATTTACTCTCAAAAGCATTACAGAGTTACAGTGCAAGAGATTTAAGATCATTCTCACATGAAATCATCAATAATATCATTCCTCCTCCTACATTGATATTAATTATAATTATTTACTGCAGATACCCACAAAACTATATATTATATAATCTACCCAGCGACAACCTGCCATGATTATTAATATCAAGTGGGAATTTCATTTCATTAATAATAATAAACCTACGTGATTTCACATTTTGTTACACAAATTCTTATTAAATTGTTAATTATAATTATTTACTTTTTGTATATATATATATATATATATGTATATATATAGTCCCAACTCTTCGAAATAAGCATGTAAATGGTCAAAAAAATTGGATTGCAATTTGTCTCTAACCCACGGTTGACGGAATATCTTACTAATTAATTTTATATAGTAAAAAAAATTAAAAAAAAAAAGAGATTGCTTGGAAACCGGGACGGTGCAAGGGTTGGACCCCCGAGATGGCACGTGCGGGGTGTGGATCTCGTTGGGGACACTAAGAACATGGGATGCCACCTTTGACTGGTCAAACATTTAACCCTACCTCTTTCCTCGCTTCCCATGCACACTGCGAGCCCCTCAAGTCAAGAATTAGAGTCTCAGAGTGACGATTTTCTCCACTCAACATCATACAAAATTCATGTATACATGTATATTGTTAACTATAACTCATGTGTACATATATATTTATATAGAAGATGGATCGCAAGAATAATGATTAAAGAGGGTTGGTTTGATGTATGTATGTGTATGTATATTAGATCCTGAAAAGAAATATGTATATATGTATGTATATTATTTTTTAAATGTTAAATGTTAATGGTGTGTGTAATAACAACATGGTATTGCGTGTAGACTGACAATCTCTCGCTGGCTTAAAACTGAGCACCTTTCTCTCTCTCTCTCTCTCTCTCTCTCTCTTTCTTTGAAGAAGACACAGAAAAAAGAAGAAGACAGGTATGGCGTATCTCTAGATATTTAGACCTGATTCTCTCTCTCTCTCTCTCTCTCTTGTCTCTGTTAAAAAAAAGTGTATTTAAATACGAGCTTAGCCCACTTCTTTCTCCCATGCAATTGTCTTGTCTTCTCCATTCCCCTATTACCCACTACTTGTAATCATCTTCTGCTTTCTCTCTCTCTCTCGCGTATTAATATTATCATCTCGTAGGTAGCAAACCCCACTAATCTTTTCTCCATAACTTGTCTCTCACTTAATACACACCACTATATTCAAATACTTACTTCCGCTGCGTTCCTTATGCTTATATAAATATTGTAGTGTGTGTGTATATATATAGGTACCTTGTCTGACTGCACAAATAAGTTTGTTTAATTTGTAGCTACCTAATAATAGACATATATATAATTTCTTATATATATATATAGCCAAGATGTCAAGCAGAAGGTCCAGATCAAGGCAGTCCGGAGGTTCAAGGATCAGTGATGACCAAATCAATGATCTTGTTACTAAGTTGCAACAGCTTCTTCCTGAGCTTCGTGATAGACGGTCTGATAAGGTACGTATAATCTCTCTCTCTCTCTCTCTATATATATATATATATATTATACATCTATATGGATATCCATAAGTATATACTAGTAACCTACTAGGTTTCTATCTCCTCTTTGTAATTAACGAGTAATGTGGTTTGGCTCACAACTCGAAGCTATAACATATATTAGGTTCAAGATAATTCACCTTAGGAAATTTGTTCCATTAATTAGGAGGAGAAGAAATCAAAAGCATACATGAAGTTGAAGAGATTTAATAGGTATAAGGTGACTTTTTCTCTCAAATCTTGAAAGTTCAACTGCACTTGAATATTAATCAACACTAAAGTGATCTTCTTAATTTTAATACTAGTTCAAGCATTTATTCATACATATATAATAGCTACAGATGGTGAAAATTAATGGAAAAAGGTTACTTAAGAGTTGATATTAAATAAATGTTTAATTTGTATATATATACATATGGTGTTAAATAACTATAGGTGTCAGCGGCAAAAGTGTTACAAGAGACGTGCAACTACATCAGAAACTTACACAGAGAAGTTGACGATCTAAGCGAGAGACTTTCTGAGCTACTGGCAACAACTGACACTGCCCAGGCTGCAATCATCCGGAGTTTACTCATGCAATAATAATAGTTTATTAATTAGGAGTTTAATTATATATGCTTAGTTCATGTGCTCTTCTCTCTCTTAATTTCCTGTTTTAATTATCTTCTACTTAAATATTTGCTATGCATGATCAGTCTAAGTACTACTCGAATGGCAAGACAAAATCTTTTTTTGCAAACCCCTTGTTATAATCTTGAGGAGTATGATATAATTAATAAGATGATTAACCCCAGAAACAAACTCTTCTTAATTTTGATTCTATCAGTTGGTATAAAGTCATCTCAATATATATATATATATATATATATATATATATACATATGATACAAAGTAGACAAAAGAAGCAAGTAGATTGATTAATGCACCCATTAATTTCCAACTGTGTTCTACTTTCTTAGTTTTCTTCATATACATAAGTTCTCTCCTAGCTGGTGGCTGCTCTAAAACAATGATCATCCCAAGAGTGCAGGAGTGAGTCTGAAAATCTGCATATATACATATATATATTATGTATATATGTTCTTAGCTCAAAAAAGCTTCTGGCTTGTATATCAATACTCGAGAAATTCCATAACCAAATCCATCCTTAGATATCATATTAAAATTTGTGCGTCGGATAGAGTAAAAACTTAAATAGATGCTTCGAAAAAATAAAATGTGATGTATGAGACAAATAAATCAATATTTTCAAAGAGTATATTCGTTAATTTTATATTTCATAAATTATTAAAATAAAAATTTTAAAATAAACACATAATATTAATTTATTATAAATAATTTTATATTTATTATAAATTAATATTTCTCTCAAAATTAAATAATCATAATAATTTAAAATTAATACAGCTTGAGTAAAACAAATATATATTTTAAATAATTTAAATTATTAAAATAATTTAGAAAAATATTATTATTTAAAAAATTATAATAATTAATTATTGTTATGTACTTTTATTATTTCATGAGTTACTTATATCGCTGTTCCTATTTCAAAAAATTTTCTCAAAAAAATAAAATTTTCATGAGATGATTTTACTCTAATAAATTTATTTTCTCAAGAACTGAGTCACAAATAACGTGTTTTTAATTTATATACAAAATATGTTTCCCTATTTGAAGATTAATCAATTTATTTTAAAAAATTATTTCGAGTTTACTATATAAACGTGACATGTATCCCCATACACAATAACATAATTGGAATACACAATATACCATACCCATCTTAAAATGAAGTATTCATATGAGTTACCAATATTAGTTTGCACATGACACCCACACTACTAAGGTGCGGATTAAACTCTAATATGCAAATTTTAAGGTCTACGATCCGAATCTTATCAGTGCCCCCAAACATAAAATCGTTGAAATAGCATACACATTACATCAATCAATAAAATATGTATGTTAATATTTAATTAAAAAATTCAATTAGGTCAATAGAATCACCGAGTTACGATGACAGTGAGACAAAATAAAACTCTGCAAAGATGGTAAATTTAAAAATTAAAATCGCTACATCCTATTGAAAGTGGGATGCGATATTATAGAGTAACTAATTTAATTTTAGAGATTTCAAGTTTAAAATTATAGGAATATATCAGTCATCTGTCTTACATTGTTCTAATTAATTATATAATTAGCATGTCAAATTGATTTTTTTTTTTTTTTACACATTTGTTTAAATAATGATGCATATATAACAAGTTCATATGTCAAGAAAAATGCAACCCAAAAGAAAATGTATGAAAAATAAGCTATGGCAAGACAAAAATTTTCATGCATTCTCCTTTTCCTGCTACACTTTATCAGATCCTCTTGTCAATATTTCTCTAATCCATTTTCATTTCCAGCATTCAGCTTAATGACTTAAAACCATTTCATAAGTTTTCTTGAATGCCATTTTTGATCTCCCAAAACACATATATATTTGCAAGCTTCTATATTCTCCTAACAAGCAAATAAAAAAGTAAGAAGAACTTGAAGAAGGGATTGTTATGGCTGAAAATAAACTTACAGCAAAATTTAGAAATGCATGAAGAAAAACAAAGCTAACATTATTATGCTCAAGCTAAGCCTACAAATACTAGAAAAGCTAAAATTATCCCGATGACGAAACAATAATTTACACGTTAAGAATATAAATATATCTCTTTTAATTTTGTAGGTATTTGTGGTTCATAAATTAAAATTATTATGTGTTATTTATTCTTGTAGGTGGTTGTAGTTTATATATTAGAGTTAATTATCATTCATAATTAAATTTTAAAAATTGTATCAGTACTTATATACACCCAGTATAATTGAAGATTTTTTGCAAACTGAGGACAATTGAAAATTTAAGCCTTTCTACTAATTTTTTGTACTTCTTCCTCCCATTTCTAACTATGTATATATATATATATATATATATATATCAAGTCCTGATTCATGCAACAGAATATGCACACCTTCATAACCCTCTCGGCTTCTCCTTCTCCTCTTTGTTTTTCTTAATTTCCCTCATAAAAAAACACAAAGGGAATCTTCATTCCCAACATCGTGCCTTTTAGCTTTGGCATTGGCCCCTTTCAAAGCTGATTTCACAAACTCCTTCCACCTCGATCAACGGCCCTCATTTCTTTCATGCTGTTCTTCTTCTTCGAATAGGCAATCAACAGCTTCGCGCTCCCTCGTTTCTCTGTCTTCATCACCAACCATCAGTCATCATCACGCCTCAGCGTCGCTTGCTCTCGGAGTTTCCTGCTCTTGCTTCAAGGTTTCCATCATCATTGATTAACGTCGTCGTCGTCATCCCACCAGCCATTTGCTTCTGCCTCACCATCATTGCGCCAGTCTTCTACAAACAGAAGGAGGAGGAGGAGGAGGAGGAGGATGTTTAAAACGCATGTTTTTGGGGGCGAACTTCTTAGGGAGCCGGGCTTAAAACAGATATAGGCTGGGACGGGGGGAAGAACAAAAATGGGTTGGGTCCATTTTAGGCCTGGCTCGATTGGGGAAAAGGGCAAAAGGAAAAGAGAAAAGGAAAGGAAAGGAAAAGAAGAGGCTGGGTTTTATTTTAAATTTAGTTTTCCGGCCATCTTCTTTTTTTCTTTTTCATTTTTAACTATTTTAGATTTATCTTTTTTCATCCACGCCCCTATTTTTTTCTTTTTCTTTTTTATTTACATCCCCCACGACTCGTTTTTCTTTAATTTTCATTTCATCTCATTTTTTTAAAAAAGATTATTATTTTTTTCGTTCCCATCATTCTGTTTTCTTTTTCCTCTTCTTTTTCTTACCGTTTTTTGTTTATTTTCTTCAGAGAATGTAAAATAAATGTAGCAAAAGTAATAAAAAAAACTTTTTTGATGAATTAAATTACTTTTTTTCTTTTATATTTTTGTTCGTTATTCTTAAAAGTTAAATGTACTCAAATAAAATTAGAATATGATATGTACATTTTTTTTTACTTGATCATTTGTAAAAAAAGTAAGTAAAAACTAGAATTGTCTTGAATTTATTAGTAAAAACAAAATTTTCGTTTTTATGCCCTTGCTTCATTCATCATTTGTCTTCTTTTTCTTTTTTTCTTCTTTCTTCTCTCTTTTATTCTTCTCTTGTTCTCTTTCTTCTTTTCTCACTTTGTTGTGATGTGAACTTACCTAACAAGTGCACTAGTTCGAACACGTACTGTAACGGTAAATTCGTATATCGTTACATGAAAACTAATATAACAATTATTAGAGTTTTAACTAATTGATATTATTTTGTTAACGACTAAAATATAGACTAAAGCTTAACAAAAAAAAACAACGATGAATTAGGATTAATTAACAATCAAGATAAAATACCAGTTAAGATCTTAGATCCACCCTAAGTTCAACTATGAATTTTTTTAATTCAATTTATGACTAGAATTTTCAACCAATTTTATTTAATTATGTAATAATCTATTTCTCAAGATAAATTACCCTACCTACTTCATAATAACACGCATATCTATATGAATTAGTATGAATCAGTGCATTAATATTCAATTATCAAATATATAAATCATTTCAAGTATCTCTACTCGCATTCAATCTATTGTGCTAACTTAATATTATAATGAACGATTAGTCTCTCAATTCAATCATTTATCATAACCCAATAAATAAGTGATCAGTCTATTTATGCATTAAGCCACAAGATAATACATAAGGATTGAAAAAAAAAATTTCATAGATTAAATAAGAAAATCACAAAGTATCCCTTAAGATTTTATCAAAGATCCCAACAGAAAAGTTTAGTTACTCATCTTAAAGAAAATTGCAAGAATCAAATATAAGGAAAATATGAAACGATTTAAGATAAAATCACTAGTAAAAGCTCTTGATATCTGTAGCTGTCCTCTCTTATTTTCTCCTCATTTGGTCTGTGTCTCTTTTTGAGATAATTCTCTCTTTATATAGTTCAAGACCTAATACTTTGACAAAATCCAAATATGATCTGTCACGTCCCACGACCATATCCAATTGACACACGATCGTGTCTCCCAGGCACACGCCCATGTCTCTTTCACTGAACGAAACAGAAACGTTATCTTTTTAACGTATAGTCGCGTGTTAACTTAGTATAAAGCACACGGTCTTGTCTTCCAGGCAAATAGTCGTGTTTCACTCCTCCTCAGAAACAGAAAAACTACCCCCTTAACACATGACCATGTGTCATGGCCATGTCTCCCATATCTTTATGTTTCAATCCTTTTTCGTCCAAATCTTGCTCCAATCCGCTCTAATTTGCTTCCAAGTCCCAAACTCATTCCTGAAAGATGCCAAAGACAATCGAACAATATATATGGTAAAAATTAATCAAAATTAACTCAAATAAAATAGAAAAATATCTATAAAATTCAATTATATCAACTCCCTCACACTTGAGCTTTTAATTGTTCTCAAGCAATCTTAAATCCATTCCATAACAAAACCATAAATGAAATCTTCCTCATCAATATTATATTACCTCATGATAATACAAAATAATGTGTACAAAGGGATAAT